TGGAACCCTTAATTCACTGTTGGTGGGAGTGTAAAATGGTGCAACCACTGTGGATGGCAGTGTGACGCTTTCTCAAAAAGTTGCAAATAGAGATACCATTTGACCCAGCCATTCCACTACTGGGAATATACCCCAAAGAGACCATAACTGACATCCAAGCAGATATATGCACACCCATGTTTATTGAGGCTTTGTTCACAACAGCAAGGAGTTGGAAACAACGTAAGTGCCCACCAACGAAGCTGTGGTATATAGTCACACAATGGAATACCACGTTTCATTGAAAAACAAGGAACTCATGCAATATGGTTCAAAATGGGTGACCCTGGAGGATATTATGCTGACTGAAGTATCTCAGTCACAAAAGGACAAACACTGCATGGTGCCACTCTTGTGAAACAGGACTGACATCAGGTTTGGGATGAGGCTGAGAAAGATGGGTTCAATAATGTATACTGCATTGAAACAGATAAGGGAGAAAACTGTTTAAGAGAGCTATGTGATTAAGTATTTCTGTCATGACAGGACTCGAGAGCGAAGGGTGCATAGTGGAATGGGCCTAGGGGAGGGTTTGTAAAACAATGAAAGAATTTTTCTTTTACTTTTCCAAGAGGGTAGTATACCAGGGGGGAGGGCTGGGAGGGGAGAAATGTGCAACAATGAATGAATGGAAATCCAAAGTCTCTGTAATTTTTCATTGAAATTAATAATAAATTTTTTTAACAAGAAAAAAATTAAAGTAAAAAAGAATGTGTCTACAACCAGGAGAAGATAAATTAGATGAATGGGACCTTCTAAGAATCAAACCCCTGTGAACATCCAAAAACTTCTCCAACAGGGTAAAAAGGGAAGCCACAAACTGGGAAAAAGTATTTGGTAATGACATCTCAGATAAGGGACTGATACAGAGAATTTATAAAATACGTGAGCATCACAACAAGATAAAGGTAAATAATCCAACTGATAAATGGTCACAGGATATGAACAGACACTTCAACAAAAAAGACATTCAGATGGCCAACAAGCACATGAAGAAATACTGAAAATCCATAGATCTAAGAGAGATGCAAATCAAAACAACTATGAAATATCATCTCACCGCAGTCAGAACAGCAAAACTTAACAGAAAAGCAAGCAACAAATGCTGGTGAAGATGTGGGGAAACTGGAACCCTTATTCACTGTTGGTGGGAGTGTAAAATAATGCAACCACTGTGGAAAGTGGTGCGGCACTTTCTCAAAAAGTTGCAAATAGAGATATCATTTGACCCAGCAATTCCACTACTAGGAATATACCCTAAAGAGACCATAACCAACATCCAAGCAGATATATGCACACCCATGTTTATCGCGGCTTTGTTCACAATAGCAAGGAGTTGAAAACAACCTAAATTCCCATCAACAAACGACTGGACAGAGAAGCTGTGGAATAGTCACACAATGGAATACTATGCTGCATTGAAATATAAGGAACTCATGCAATATTATTCAAAATGGATGACCCTGGAGGACATTATGCTGAGTGAAGTATCTCAGTCACAAAAGGACAAATACTGCATAGTGCCACTGTTGTGGAATGGGACTTACATCAGGATTGGGCTAAGACTGAGAGACACAGGGCAAATTATGTATTCTTCATTGAAACAGATGAGGGAGCAAACAGTTTAAAAGCAATATATGACAGGGTATTATGGTTACCACAAGAGCCCAGAATTAAGGTTGCATAGTGGAGTGTACTGGGGGGGG